GAGAGAGAGAGAGAGAGAGAGCAGTTTCTGGCTGTTTTCAGTTGTTATGCTAAGCTAAACTAAGCTTAGCTGGATAATGAACACAGATATGGTGTTAGAGCTCTTTCAGTCTGTTCATCTAAATTTTAACAAGAAAGTGTTAACTATTAATCTAATGTTGCACTCAGATTTTTGATTCAAACAAATTTTAATCTTCCAGGATGTCCTTCAGTGAATTCTTGAAGCAGTTTTCTCGGTTAGAGATCTGTAACTTGACCCCTGACGCTCTGAGTGAGGACAGCCTCAGCCACTGGAACACCATAAAGTTCTACGGCGCTTGGAGGAGAGGCAGCACAGCTGGAGGCTGCAGGAACCATCCCAGTGAGTCCCAGAAAAAATGCCTTTCATGTATAAGTGTACACACTGATATAGATAATATTACCAATTGTGTAATTAAGTTTTAGCACATACAGGTTTTGTAATGTTGCTCTGACTATGAAACAGGCTAACATAAATGTGCCATCTTGTGTAGACACGTTTTGGATCAACCCGCAGTATAAAATCACGCTGCTGGAGGAGGATGATGACCCAGACGATAATGAGGTGGCATGCAGTTTTTTAGTGGCTCTCATGCAGAAGGACCGCCGCAGATTTCGGCGCCAAGGTCAGGACATGCACACCATTGGCTTCGCTCTTTATGAGGTGAGAACAGAAATGAATGTATTGTCCCTTTGCCCCTCTCATGGTTTATTTACATATACACACTATATCACAAATTTTGCCTCAGCTCATTTATATTAACATTTTCACTTATCTTCTTTTGTGCAGATTCCAGATGAGGTAAGCAGAGCATCAAATACTACCACTGTTTATTTAACCAAAGAATATAGAATACAGTCATAACTTGCATATCCTTATTGTCAGTGTGTTGTGTTTTAGCCCATTAACTATAACATATGTATATTTTACAGCACTGCTGATCATGTGCAAGTTCTCTCCCTTCCAGGCAGTCATTGTCCTCATCTCACATTTTCACATTGTATGAAAATCAGCTTACACAAACTTGACACTTGCAACTTGATTGAAATATTCAATCAGTCACATCTGTCACACTTAATTATCTTGTTACAGTTTTTCTCAGTGGCTTTGGTGCATTTCATAGTCAGCTTTATTGGCCAGGTCTGTTGGACATGCGAGGAATTTGACTGGGTTACAGTGGCTCTCAGTGTGAGTGTACAATGTTCTTCCATAAAGCAATGAGTAGACAATTAAACAAGGTAAGACAGAGAACAAAAAAGAAAAGAAATTATTAGGAAAATAAAGTACTTATTGAGAAATATACATACACAGATGCAGTTTTTCAGGTGGATATATACAAAGGTATATTTTCAAGGATGTCATTCTGTTATATAGTCATAGGTTAAGTGTTCGTCAGTGTGATGGCTTGGGGATAGAAACGGTCCTTGTGTCTGGTTGTTTTGGTGTACAGTGACCTGTAGCGCCACCCAGAAGGGAGGAGTTTAAACAGTTTGTGTCCAGGGTGTGAGGGGTCTGCAGAAATCTTCTTTGTACAGGTCCTCCAAGGAGGGCAGACTGGCACGATGATTTTTGGTGTAGTCCTAACTGTCTGCTGGAGTCTGTTCCTCTCCTGTTTGGTTGCTGAGCCAAACCAGACAGTGATGGAAGAGCAGAGAACATACTTGATGATTCCTCTGTAGAACTGTAGCAGCTCCTGGGGCAGGTCGAACTTCCTGAGCTGGTGCAGGAAGTACACGCACCATCTTGGTGATGGTGCTGATGTCTGATCATCCTTGATATTTCCACATGTAAGAGCATTTCTCCAAACAGTTTGTACAAACAGCACCACATGATGGATTACCTGCAAAAGTGCATCACTTGCTCAAAATCCTTAGTTTATCTCGCAAAAATAAATACTTGTGTCACTGAGCATGTCAGTGCATCAGAATGACAAGTCCTTGTGTCAAAGTTCATATGAACATGGCAGTCAGAATGCTTAGTCATGTTGTCAGTATAACTGTGTACTCTGGAAGGATTCTTTGTAAACTATGGCACAGGTTTTGATAACATTGATTTAATATGCACAAGGCCACACTTTTTCTGTACGGCAAATATCAGTTTCAGCAGTACACAGTTTCACATTACCCTGGGTGGGAGATTTGTTGAGAAAGATTGGACAGATTCACATTTACTTTTACTGTCATTGTGATACAGAGAAGAAGTGTTTTTATAGCACTGTGGGGCACAAAGAAAAAAAAATGTTAGACATGTAAACGCCCCGTTGACAGAACGTTTGTTCTCCCAACACTTGGCTGCTATCGACCAGTCTCAGCCATTGTATGGCCAGGATTGACAATATGGTCCACAAGTGTGGCCCTTACTTCACTGGGAACATGCTTATGCCCTTTGCCACTTCTGCCCTTTCCTCTGTTTCCCCCTACCCTTCCACCACACAGCCCTATTCCTCTTCTTCCTAGAAGTTGACGCTGTTCCTTTCATAGTTTTTTGTTGTTGTCAGAAACTAACACTGTGTTGTGCTGTATGCTTGCCAATTGAAGGTTCATGAGATATACCTCTGGGCTATTTTACAGTAGAGAACTGGTCGATCTAACACTTCACACATTCCCCTTAGTCAGTGAAAGTCAGTATTCACCTAAGAGCAATTCAACAAATTCCAACACATTTGCAAAAACAGTAGTCTAATAGAGCTGTATAGAAATATGTCTGACAGAGACTAAAGACAACTAGTTCACCCATTTTGCTTGTAATAACTTCTGCAGTGAACTAATGACTAGTTGTTTTGGGAGATCAGACTGTTCAACAGAGAACCATGTAATACATTCTGATCAACATGACATGAACAACTGATCATGTAAGAAACAGTAGAAAATTGTACATGATCATCTGCATGAATGTCCCAAAGAATTTGTAATTGCTAATATGAGAAAGTGCTGATATGATGCACATAAGTGACTGGATGATGTGGAACAAGTAGTTTTGAGAATTTCATTTATGATCTGGGAAATGTACAAAGGAAACTGAGAAAAACTGTAAATGTATCCACATATTTAAGAATATTTTATAAATGATATTGTGAAGTTAACAATACAAGCAGATTTGGTTCATTGTGATGGATGAGCTGTTTTAAATCATTGAAAGTTTCTTTCCACCCCATATGAAAGTTGGTTTTCATTGAAATACAATCAGAAGTCAATAAATAATTAATAAAATGGTCAGTAGTAATGTAAAGTACATATGATTTCAGTGAAATGGATGTAAAAACATGCAGATGCATCTCAACCCAAGTATTGTTTCCTGCTGCCCTTAGTACAGAGGCTGCCAGAATGTCCATTTGAAGAAAAATTTCTTTTTGAGCCATTCATCGTGTGCTCGCTCTGAGACCTTCATTAATCTGCGTGAGGTGAGCACGCGGCTGCGTCTGCCCCCTGGAGAGTACCTCATCGTCCCCTCCACCTTTGAACCCAGTCAAGAGGCTGACTTTGTCCTCAGAGTCTTCACAGAGAAACAATCAGCAACAGAGTATGTATCTTTTACATGTGATTGTAATGTCAGCCTATGTATTTGTAATGTGTAGAGAAGAACATCTCATACTGATATTTGTGTCCATCGCAGGGAACTGGATGATGAAATCTCTGCCGATTTAGGAGATGATGTATGTATAGGTGATACTGTAGGATAAAAGAATATGTTACGTAATACACAATAGGAATACTATTGAATAAATCTGTGCCTTTTTTTTGTTTTCTTACAGGAGGAAATAACTGAAGACGACATTGATGACTCCTTTAGGTCCATGTTCACTCAGCTAGCAGGAGAGGTAGGTTCTGAACAACAGATATGGATTTGTACTTACTAACACTATCACTGTTATAAAATACAGCAACACGGAAGATGTAATTGTAGTATTATTGTGGTACGGTATTACCAGTGGTATTTTGCATAATTTCTCCCTTGTTATAGAATAAGAATAAACTAACTTACTTGAACTTCTGCAGATTTTGATTTTTGGCCTCTGCTTTTGCAGGACATGGAGATTTCTATTCGCGAACTTAGGACCATTCTAAACAGAGTTATCACTCGGCGTAAGTTTTCGATTTATTTAACAATACATAGCTCCTGAAAGGTTTACATATTTATAATACATCTTTTATTGCAGTATGGGATTCCACTGTAGAGTGTACACCATACATTTATCAGCCAGCCTTTTTGTAACCGAGTTAGTGTTGGCCAGACTGTTTCAAGTGAGCGTTTTCTTTTTGCTGTTTCAGACAAAGATCTGAAGACTGATGGTTTCAGTATGGAATCATGTAGGACCATGGTCAACTTGATGGATGTATCCTCTTGAGTTGTCAGGCATGAATAGGTTAAAAACTTTTACATTGATTTTATTACAAAGAAAAACTCATGCTAGTGATTGTCTATGTGTAGCTTCACCCCTTAACATGATGTTTATCAGAAAGATGGTAGTGCCCGTTTAGGGTTGGTGGAGTTTCAGATTCTCTGGAATAAGATCCGCAAATGGCTGGTAAGAATGGGTAAAATAATATTAATGTGAAATGGATATCGTGCACACTTATCTCCTAATATTTATATTGACATTTCTGCCTCTGTGTCTCAGGTCATTTTTAGACAGTTTGACCTTGACAAGTCAGGGGCCATGAGCTCATATGAGATGCGCCTCGCTGTGGAGGCGGCAGGTAATATGCTCCCAAGTATTATTTCCACATTCACGTACAGTACATTCACTCACAGATGAGAAGTGCAGTCTTTTTTAATTGTTTTTGTGTTCCTTTGTAGGGTTTAAACTGAATAACACACTGCATCAGATTTTAGTTGCTCGGTATGCGGAGAACGAGATGATTGACTTTGATAACTTCATCTGCTGCATAGTCAAGCTTGAAGCCATGTTTAGTGAGTAATATTGCTATATACGTTTTTAGAAATAAATGTTTGTACCATATTAGGTATGAATGCAGTAGGATAATAGCACCACTGACAAGATTTCAAATTTTTTTACCAGGGTCTTTCCAACAATTGGACACGGAGGGATCAGGCGTGGCTGAAATGAATCTCACACAGGTGTGTTGTTTAAAAAAAAAAAAAAAAAAAGAGTTTCTGTACATTGTGTCACTCTTTTCTGTGCGTCTGACTTTATGTCTTGCATTGCTAGTGGCTTTACATGACAATGTGTGGGTAAAGTGGACCATCTTCATTGGAGTATAGTGGTATAGTGTCTGCAGAGTGCCATGAACATGGAGCCCTGAAGACCTCTCAGCCTTAGTGACCCTCTGATTTACTAACACATCCCACCTCAGTATAATGTAGGAAGAGTGTTACAGAAAATTGAAGTCCAACCAGGCTTAGTGTCTCCTGACTGAATTTTAGAAGCTATGCAATCCTACACTATGACAGTCACTGTGCCACATACATTTGTAACCTCTGTAAAAGCAGCATGGTTCTGTGCATGACAAATCACTTGCTGGAGTGCATATTGTGATAGTTCATTTTATATTTGTTTTGCTGTCACTATGAATAAGGATAAGTCTGACTTCTTCCTACTCCATTCAAGCATGTACTAGGAATAAGCAAATTGATATTGGATTATGGGTAAAATTATGTGTGTTGTCATATCAACTGTTTTTACATGCTTGAAAGAATAAATCAAATCAAATCAATAAACTAATATATTTTGTGAAGAACAAACATAGATGGGTTTTAATTATGTCAATGTAGTACTTTAGTTCTTAATTTTCTAATCATGCTGTATTTTTCCCATTTTTCCTAATTTTATAACAAAAAATATTGCTATTGCACCTATAGATGGCAGTACAGACCTAATCTAACGCCAGTGTTTTTTTTTTTCCTCTTTCGCACTTGGTACTAAAGTTGAAGTGTTTTATATATTACATATATATTTTTTTAGTTGAAGTCATGTGGCTGACCTTTTAATTTCACTTGCTTTTATTTTGTACCGGATTTTAGTTAGTGATAAATACATGATACTAGTTAACTTTGAATGCCTTATACACGACAGTATAAACAGCTATTGTGAATGTATGTTGTGACTTCAATAAAGATTTCTTTCATGATTTATGCTTTCTTTGTTCACTGTGTGGGTTGGATTCACATTTGGCTGCTCACACTGCACCAGAAACTCCTAATGTATGTGTTTAAAGGTTCTATTTATTGTAAGAATGGAGAGGTATCAAAAAAATGTCAAATATGACTTCATAGACCCTGGTCTATTATATACATTAGGTAGTAACAGAATACTGTATTAAGAGCAACTGTGACAAGGTGTATGCTCATTTAGGGTTTAATGAAGACAACATATACAAGCATAACATATTTGTATACTCCCCAGGTGATGTGAAACACTTTCAATATCACAAATCACAAGTGAATAATGTTATTAAACAAATGAACTTGCAATTGCTAACACTTTAGAGAAGTCCCCCGCCTTTTCACGCAGATGTGTGGGTATAGGGACCCTAATCCTTGTTCCTGTAGGGTTCCCATTGTCTTCAATCAGAACAACATTGTTTGAATCAAAGCGTGGATTCATGCGATCCCCAGGCATTTTATGTCCAACGATAAGGGCTTTCTTCTTCTGCCCTTTGATAGCAAGCAACACTCTATCGCCAACCTTTCCTACGCCATTCTTGGTGTAGACATGGATCACTCTTGGTGGACGGTGATATGGAGTATTTCCAAGAGAGCTGTTATCCACTACACGCACTCTTGTCATTTTCTGAATTGCTGTCACAACAGCGGACACACTGTCAAAACAAAGAGTAAATGGGTCATCTTCAAAATACAGGACCTGCTGGGCCATTACTAAATATCAGTGGTCATGTATTCATGTGGCCGGCTGGGATTGGCTCCAGCAGCACCGTGACCCTGATAGAGAATGAGATGAGATGTATTCATGTGGATGTTAAATGTCAAGCTTTTAAGTCAACAGAGTTGCTATTATCAGTATACAATGCAAACATCACCTTAAAATGACAAAAAACAACAATAAAAGAAGGTATGCATGACACACACACAGTGTAAAATCATGGTCAGCAGGTTGGTTTATCTTGCATATAATTCTGTTAGATCCTCTCCAGAAATGTTTGAAGAAGCTCAGGACTCTAGAGGTTAAGTAATAATTTGTGTACTTTTCAAAAACAATGATTATTACTGTTAGCCTATTATAAACAAGTTAAAATTATTGAAAGAATATCTACTCCCCTTTTACTGAATAATGCAAAGTCTACAAATAATCGAGTGTGCTTACACACTGTAAAAAAAAAAAGAAAGAAACTTGTAGTGATTTCATAAATTCATGCTGGTACATCCACGTCTTTAACTCAGATTTCCCCTACAGCACATAAATGTGAAAACAACAGTTTCAGTGTCAAAAATTTTCACAATGAAGGTCAAGCATCCATTTGAAGTTACATTTTACTAAATGTTGAGTCTAAGGGTGCTTGAATACTTGACTGAGATGCACTGGAGCATGTCAGTGCTCAATCAACGACTGTCCTTAGCTAATATAAATAAATACAAGTATCAAATTAACCCAACCACATCTAAGTTACTTAATGTGTTACTTGCTAATTGACGAGTCTTGAAGGTCATAATTTGGGTTATAAATTTTAACAGAAAAACCTCTCACCTAAAGGGCCTCTGATGAGTTATGAACGAAGTATCTACGAGAAGCCCAGTAAGTGCTCTTGAAAGATGGTGGAAAGCCATGGTTACAGCGAATACCCTATCAGCTAGAGAGAGAAATCATACATGGTTAGCAGCTAAAGCTAAAAGGTCTGCTAATTGTAGCGCTGATAATAGCTAAAAACACATGGTGAGCGGAAAAAGTCACAACAACGGAACAAAAAAAATCAATGGCTTATAGCATAATAAAATAAATATAGGAATATCTATATTAAAAGCATCAAACTCTAAGTATAAAACATCTCTCTTGCTAACATTACCTTTCTACCTCGCTCCATGCAAACGTCAATAGCGTGTCGTCAGAAACACGCGACACGTTTTCGTTCCAAGCTAGCTGAGAAACCAAATGTTTAACATATGAGAAATAAACATTCCTCGCTGCAATTAATAATGTCTTCTTTGGTTTATTAATTGCTGGTAAGGGTCAACCGTTTGTGCTTGTACAAACAAAAATACCTAAAGAAACTGCAGTAAAGGCTACCGTCAATAGTTAGGTTTTTTAATTACATTGCTGTACGTCATAGAAACGCGCAGGAGAAAATGTAGAAATGTGGATCATAGAAACTACACAACGAGGACTTCAGCCCCAGTTTGTGACATGAGAGTCACAAGCTAGGGCTACGAGAACTCTAGAAAGATTTAGGCTAGGGGTGATAATTGAGTGTCGTCTCTCTATACAGTCCTCTTCTATTTAGTTATGCGGTGGGTTCGACTCCGGTTGGACTAGTTAGGTTAGCATTGGTTGTCCAACCGGCTGGCACACACAAACATAGCAGTTAAGACGTCTGTTATTTAGTGATGGGTGAATAATGCCCTTTGCCCTTTGTGTCAAAAACCAAACAAACTACAAACCTTGGGGCCTCAAAGCAGGCATAATCACACCTGATGGTTTGCAAACGTCTGTTCTTCAAGACAGGGACTTAAGTTCTGAGGCACTTCACTGATTTTAATGTTATTGTCTTATATGTGTGCAATAAATCCCCGAGAGGTCCACGTGCTATTATTACATTTGTAATACAATATAACATATTGAATATTAAAAATGATTGTACTAGTGTAGTAACGGTAAGTGGCACTGGTGCGTTTCAACATCATGACTGATATTTATGTATAATTTCATATGAGTCGTAGTGCGATGTGCCATGGGAATTAAATGTATAAAATTACTGATTACATAATGCTTGGTGTCAGATGAGAATTTTGCCATACCTTGGACTGTCTACTGGTTACAATATTGATGCATCACATAGTGGAGCTGCAACTATTCCAAACTAAGTGCTGTGTTTTCTGCGGTACTAGTCACGTTGGAAACTCGGGCGTGATGAGTCACGTGACACTCCTCATTTGATACTTCGTCACAGTGGTTCATAGGAGGGAAACAAACCTTGGAGTTTTAGTGTCATCGGCTCATCTCTTTCCACCATTACTCACAGCTAGACAGTTTGACCGACTAGCTCGATCTCTGTAGTTTTTGTGTTGTGGCCAGGGAGGTTCAGCGAATTTTAATTTAATGCCGACAGTTGTTAAATAACCTTCACCTGTTATTTGCTACATCGAGGTTAGCTAACGTCACCTTTAATGCTGACTGCTGATTTACCTCGCATTAGCTAAGTGTGACAGCTTCTGCCTCTGCTGCGTATCAAAGCACGGTAAGTTGTTTTTGTTATTAATTTACTTTGTATTTATTGGTATTTCTCGGCGTGCTTTGACTTTTCCCTGCTGTTGCGGCAGCTAACCCGTTTGCTACTTTGCTGTCAGAACAATAAACAAGTAAACCCATCCTGGCACCATTAGAGTTAGCTAACTGAGCCAACCTTATTGAGCTCCACCAACAGCAAGTTACGGTCAACAGTAATGTCAGCTAGCTAGCTAGTTTTCATAACTGATGCAAGTTAATTGTATTAAGCAAAGGCAGGTTTGATCATTGTGAGAATTCTTGATCTCTTTTTAAAGTAGCTAAATCGGACAGTCATGATTGTTTCATTATTTGCCATGCTCCAGCCACAGTCCCTAGATTAGGTTTGCCTGCCAACGTTACTGATCATATTCAGCTATTCATTTTGAGCATGAACAGAAGAGTAATTTTAAGATGTTCTCCTCAGTTTGCACTTTAATAATGTTTGGCTGCCTGCTATTGTTAATTACTAGGGCACTAGAATAGGTTTTGACATGCCTTTAGCAGCCATCAAACCACGATGAAGCGCCTGTCAGTGAATGCAGCGCAGTTTACCTTTTACCAGTAACTGTCAACAGCTTCTATCAGTACAGCATTACTCAACTTCTGTCGTTAGACAGTTATGTTACGAATTGAGTGATCAATCTTATTGATTGATGACTACTCATAGCTTGGCTAACAGTTAATGCTTTTCCTTGTGTATGGCCTATAAAGGGATAAACATGAGCTAGCAGCAAGCAGTTTTTCAGCTGTACTGTGATCTGATAACATAAATAATATTGATGGGAAGTGCCAATCACTCATAATTCTGCTCGTATCAGTTTCATAGTCTCACAACCATGACTTCTTATCAAATGCTGAGGGCATTAATGCTTTTCCTACATGAATTGAACATTTTTATTTTTGGATTAATGAATATTTGATTTGATTTGATTTATTCTTTCAAGCATGTAAAACAGTTGATATGACAACACACATAATTTTACACATAATCCAATATCAATTTGCTTATACCTAGTACATGCTTGAATGGAGTAGGAAGAATATGTCTGCACTTAAATTATTCCATAGTTTTACCCCACTTATGGAAATACAAAATCTTTTTTTGGTTGTACGTATAGCATTAATTTTTTAATTTAACTGACCCCTTAAATTGTATCCCCCTTCCCTTTCATTAAATAGTTTTTGAATTCCACCAGGTAATAAATTGTTCCTGGCTTTATACATAAACACTGCAGTCTTATATCCCACTAAATCAAAAAGTTTTAACAATTTAGACTGTATGAAAGCTACATTGGTGTGATCCCTATACCCCATCTTATGCACAATTCTTATCGCTCTTTTTTGTAATATATACAATGGTTGAAGTGAGCTTTTGTATGTATTTCCCCAGTTTTCAACGCCATACTCTAAGTATGGTAGAATCAATGAGGAATACAAAATGCGTAGTGCTTTCCTGTCCAAAATATATCTAACCCTTGCCAATATCGATATATTTTTTGCTATTTTGTTGTGGACGTATCTGCTATGCGATTTCCAGGAGAATTTGTCATCAACTATGACACCTAGAAATTTAATTTCATGTACTCGTTCTATATTAGCTCCCCCAATTTTCAATTGAAGTTCATTGTCTAGTCTGCGATTCCCAAATACCATAAATTTAGTTTTATCCAAATTCAGAGATAGTAAATTACTATCACACCATTTCTTTATCTTCTCAAGTTTCTGTGAAACCCGTCCAGAGAGTTGCTGTAGGTTTTCACCCGATGCCCATACGGTAGTGTCATCAGCAAA